CAGGACCCTGGGATCATGACCTGAGCCGAAGGCAGACGCTTAACGACTGAGCCACCCAGGCGCCCCCTTAGTTTACAATTTTAACTCACTGTAAAGTGTTCTTATATCAAACATACCCATACATAGCCAGCATAAGCAACATGAACGGCAAAGGAGATAAATCTTCAAGCCTTACTTTAAAAGTAAAAAAGGTGCCTAGACTGTGCATATTTGTGGGCGGGGGTATATGGGAAATCTCTGTACCTTCCACTCAATTTTGCTGTGAAACTAAAATGGCTCTAAAAAATAAAGTCTAAAAAAAAAAAAACGGTGCCTAGAGTTATCAAAAATGTTTACAACTGCCAAGGGGCAGAAAGGTGTTAAAATTACCCTCCCATTACTTTAAAAAAGCAAATGTTAAAACAAAAGGGAAAAAAGGATCCATTCGTTTATTCAATAAATATTTACTGAACTCCTACTATGAGTCAGGCATTGTTCTCAGTAGAGTTGGTAAATAACTCTTCCACTGCTACCTCTAAAAAGGGCTCACCGCAATCAATATCACCATATTCAACATACTGTGGAATGTACATCACATGCCTGGCATTGTCCTGGACACTCAGGTTAGAAAATCTCTGCTTGCTTTCTTGCTTTTGATATTTTGGGCTACTCCGTTTCTTACTGGCACCAAAGTAAAGCAATGAAGATATCAGAGAGGACACGGGGAGACCACAAAACTAGGTGCTGTCACTTGGTCATTTGTTAGCGGCAAAGATTAGAATAATTATAAGGAAAGCTAAAATTTCCAGTGGGTTATTTATTCTTCACATTAATGAGCATGTGAATAAAAAGCTGAAGTGAAACCTCGGTAACTTGTCACTTCCCTCTACTAAGTAAGTAACAAAAAACATTCAAATGTAAGAAATTCTTGCTCGGCCATTTCTCCAATGACCACTCACAATTTCAACAAGTCAGTGCAATCAATTTACGCTATTAACATTACCTTTTGTAACAAAGGCTTGAGTAAATGCATTTTGGTTAATCTTAGAAACATAAATCTCTCTTTTGACTCTGATTTTGCAGACTAGAGTTAAAACCTACTTTATATGCTTTCACCAAAATAAGTAGATATCCTTCAGTGTATATAACACGAGTTAGATCAGTATATTGCACACAGTAGTTGTTCAATAAAAAAATTAAGAATTGATCAAGAGGGAATAATATGCAGGGCATGGGTTGCGGGGGGAGCCCGGCTGGCTCAGCCAGTAGAGCATGCAACTATTGATCTCGGGTTGTGAATTCGAGCCCCATGTGTAATGTGGAGTTAACTTAAAATTAAAAATTAAAGGGGCACCTGGGTGGCTCAGTCGTTGAGCGTCTGCCTTCGGCTTGGGTCATGATCTCGGGGTCCTGGGATCGAGCCCCGCATCCGGCTCCCTGCTCAGCAGGAAGCCTGCTTCTCCCTCTCCCACTCCCCCTGCTTGTGTTCCTTCTCTTGCTTTGTCTCTCTCTGTCAAATAAATAAATAAAATCTTTAAAAAAAAATTAAAAAATTAAAAAAACACACACACAAAAAAGTAAAAACAAAAGGGACTAGTATTAAGAGTTGTACAGAAACTATTTAATTATATCCTAATCACTTTAAAACAGCCATTTATACTTTGTTATGACTTTCTGATACAAAAATAGAAAGCCTCCATTAAAATACAAACTAATCCAATAAAGTTATTACGAATTATGGTTTTGAGTTCATTTTTATAGTGGTATTAACTTCCTGACATTTCATGATTTCTCCAAGTTTCCTGGAATATGAAAGTTTACCCCTACACAGATGTTTAAAAAAAAAAGGAGAGAAAGGTTTTACTTCACCTAAGGAGGACGTGCCTTAAGAGCAGGCCTTATGTGTAAAGCGTCCATTAGAAACCCGTAGGTTTTAAAAGCCTGTGCAGATCTTGACTAAAGTCGTAAAATATGTGTAAAACCTGGTGGTATTTGTGAAGGTCTATGAAAGCTGCAACCACCTGTTACAAACAACTCATGCCCATCCAAACCATAGCGCTGCCTCCCTCCACCTAGAAACATAATTCTACCCACTTAGGATTTTGCACCCCATCGTTATCTCCTTACCCGCGTTCAAGAGTCCAAGCCACCATTCAAGGAAAACCCTCAATGACTGCTCTGCATTGGGCTGTCCAGCACTGCCCAACACAGTACTTCACCCAGTCTCTTACCACTAAAGGACTGGAAGCTTCTTTTTCAGAATCCTTCATTATTCCAATTAAAAAAAAAATCTCAAATACTAATAAAATAAAGCAGCAGAAAAGAGACATTTTGTTGCCCTTATGCTTCCTGGCATTTCACCTTAAAACTCAAATACTGTACCTCTTTTATTAGTGCAAATAATGTGTTTATTCCTTTCCCCCTATTAAACCATAAGCCACTTAAGCCCAAAAGCCCATACTCTAGTGAAATACTTTTTTTCCGTGACTCCTCACTGACATATATTTGCGTATATAAGACTCTAACTGACGTGTTCTTTCTTGGAAACTTACCAAGTGAAAAAATTTTCAAGTAGTACACACACCCCGCCTTAAAAATCTTTTCCACTCACTTTTATTGTAAAAAATTCCAAGCATACACAGTAGAAAGAACAGCATCATGAGCCCTGTTATGCTGATCACCTAGCTTCAACAATTACCAACTGGTGACCACTCCTGTTTTGCCAACATCCCCACCCCAATTTATTTTGAACCAAATCAAGACTTCCTATCATATATTATAGATATTCCAGTTCCTATTTATTTTCAACAACATTGTCTTTGCTTTCCCTCCCACCCCTCCACCCCCTAAAAGAAGTGTACAGAATAATGCAGGTGATTGGACCTACTCTACCATTTTCTTTTCAAAGCTACCTTCTCTTTCCTGATCACCTTTTATGCCATTCACTAACAACACTGAAATGTCCACCTTGTGTTCAGTCCCTTCGACCCTGCCTATTGCACTTTAAAAATATTGCCTTTTTTCCTCCACAGTCCCTTTCTCTTGCTTGAACAAGCAAAAAGAAATTGTGCCAGGATTTCTCTTATCTTGATAAAATTTACTTCGGATTTGTTCGCCCACCCCAGATAAGCTAAAAGGAGCCCAAGGGAGTGGAGAAGGAATGGAAGAGGAAAAACACACTGCATTTAAAATGATAAATTTTGCTTAAGGAGGTAGGTACAAATATTTAAAACCATCAGTTATTTTAAAATTTGTATTTGTAAACATCACCTGAAATCTTGAGTCCCTTTAGACAGAGAATGTTTATAAAATCAATCACTGTAATTTAAGGGAGCTATTGCCTTCAGGATTTTGGTGTCAAAGACAGTAGCTGTTTCTGAGCCTAAGAAACGGTTATGTAAAAACAATTAAAGCCAAAAAAAAAAAAAAAAAAGATTAAGGGAGGATGCGCTGTTTCTATCGCTGCTCTAACCTTGTTTTATTTTGACGTGAGATTTCTTGGCCTCAGCTCAGACAGCAACCACCCCCCCCCCCCACACACTTTCTCCTCCACACCCTTTACAAATGGAATTCCGAAAGGAGGCACTTTCCGAGTTCATCATGGGAAATGGCTCATCTTGAGAACATTTCAGTGCAATGATTGAGATTTCATCCACTCCTCCCCCACCACCCCGGCACTGCACTGCCTATCCCTTGCCCAGTGATTTCCCGGGGAATCCAGAGAAAGGCAGAGAAACAAGCCCCACGCCACCAGCCACAGCCTCTCCTCCCCAGGGATGGCTTGTGCACTGCCTCGGCATCCCCTGGTCGCCCGGCTCCGGGGAGAGAGCTTCCAGCAAGAGGTTTCAGACACCGCGCTGCCTGTTTACCCATCCGCAGCCCTAGGTTAAGGATTTCAGAGGGCTCCCCTCGCCGCCAACCTTCCCCATTTAAAACTGTTTCCTCTGAGCAGTTAAAGAATTATTTCTCCCGCGAATGCCTCCTTCTGAACGTGGTCACACAAGATCTCCCTCTAACTCCGATTACTTTCCCCTCCAGGCCAAACGCCGCAGTCCCCACCGCAAATCCAGGATCTGAGCTGCTTCTTTAGAACTACAAGTGCGCCCCGCGCCGCCACAGGTCAAAAGTCCTCGCCTCTAGAGGGAAGACACCACTTCTCGCCCCTGTACCCCAAAACCCAAGACCTGAGACCCGGCCCGGCCGAGGCCGCCCCGCCCCCGAGAGGAGCGCCAGATCGGCCCGCACCTCCACGGGGAGAACAGCCCTAGGCACTCGCGGCTGGGGAGCCCGAACAAATAACGCAGCCCGGAAAATCTGAGGGCCTCCACGCCCCCCTCGAAGCTGGTCAGCCGCGCGTCGGTTACTCGCCCCGAGGGATTAAGGTTGCTCTTTCCACACAGCACACTGGCCTCGGGGCGCCGGGGAGAGGGAGGCCGGCCCGCGCCCCCTGCCCAGGCCGCCCGGGGGACCCAGATCCGCGCCCCCTCCTCAGTCCGCAGGGGGACTCAGATCCGCACCTCCTGCCCAGACCGCCGTGGGGGGGAGCCCGGACCCCTACTCAAGCACCGGCGTGGGGGGACACGGGTCCGTGCCCCATACCCGGGCCGCCGGAGTACCTAGATCGGCACCCCCTGCTCAGGCCGCCGGGGAGGGGGGACTCAGATCGGCACCCCCTGCTCAGGCCGCCGGGGGGGACTCAGATCCGCGCCCCCAGCTCAGGCCGCCGAGGGGCCCCAGATCTGCGCCCCCTCCTCAGGCCGCCGGGGAGACCCGGATCCGTCCCCCTCCTCCTTCCCACACCAGTTCCCCTCGCCTCGAAAGGGCGAATCTGGCTTGCACCTCTTGCTCGGGCCGAGGCCGACGAGGGGCACCCAGCCCCGCGTCTCCTCCGCAGGCCGCGGGGACCCCTACCAGCGCGCCATCGCCTCCACCGAGGCAGCCCGGCCCGCGCCCCCTGCCCAGGCGCGCCAGGCACCTTCCCCCCAACTCCCCCAGCCCGGCGGGCCCGGCCCCTCACTCACCCAGAGCTCGGTGCCCCAGCTCATGGTGCAGGGGGCGGGAAGGGGCGCGCCGCGCGGCAGGCGCGGCTCTCCGGTCCCCCTCCCCGGCGATTCCCTTCGCCCCTTGAGATCCCCGCAATCGAGGAAAGCCCGGTGCGCGCGCGGCCGCCGCCTCCTCCGGCTCGCCGCTCCTCGCCTTGGGTCTCCTCAGCAGTTCCTCCTCCCCGTCGCTCCTCAGCAAAATGGCCCGAGGAAGCAGCCGCCGCGGTCGCCGCAGCGCCCGCCAGCCCGCCCCACACCCGGAGAGCGAGAGGAGGGGGA